CTCACCGATGAGTAACAAGGGCGGCATCATCATCCTCTTCTTCCTCACTCTCGACCAAGGCCACCATAGCACCAGCGAAAAAAGGAAAAAAATTACTCGGTCAAAGACAAAAACAAACAACAAAAGGATAGAGCGTATTAATATGCTCACCTAAGAGCATGCTAGCTACAACTGGAGTACCTGGATGAGTACTCGACTGGCGAGACTTCTTGGCAGCAGATAAAGCAGAAGAAGAACCCTCAGTTCGCCCCCTCTTTCTGACAGTACGAGGAGCTCGAGGAACTGGACGAGGAATATACTCTACATATACATCAAGGTTTGCGGAAGAAACGCCAGGAAATATCGTGGTGGTTTGAAACTTACTGGTCAAGGATGCCCCAGCAAGACTATCCCCAGCCTCCACATTTACAGGGCAATCATCAAGAGGAATCGGATCAGCGAAGTTACACCCCAATTCCTAGAAAAGAGTAAAACAACAAGACAAGAAAGATTAAGCAAAAAGTGGATACAACAAAAGACACACAAAAGTACCCGCATAGGAAAAGAACAACTCACAGTAGGGGGGGGTTCTTAGCACTGTACTCAAGGACAGCAAGCGGGACGACGCTCACTCCTTTCAACATCTTCTGAAGACGCTCGAGCACCTCCTCATCAGTCAACTCAAGGGCAGGAACCATACGAGAAGGGTCCTCCGCCCCAGAGTACTCAAAACCATAATTTTCCCGCTCCTTCAGAGGTTGAACTCGGCAGCGAAGAAAACTAGAAATGATCCTGAAGCCAGTCAAGCCTAGCTATTTCAGAGTACAAATCCTCTCAAGAAACGGCTTGATCGCCTAGACCTTAGCCATCGTCATAGGGTTCTTATCCCATCGGTCATTAACCAAGGGACCAGATCCAAAATAAACAGCAAGAGGAGGAATCAAATTGGCGGCGTAAAACCAGTCGGCATGCCAATCCCTCACAGAATCAACCAGGTCATAGTCAAAGAATTTGCTCTTAAGACCCTGGCGAAACTGAATCCCGCAGCCACCAAAAACGTTGGTGTCATCACGGCGAGGTTGTGGCTTCAAACGAAAGAAATAACAAAAGAGAGAAAGAGAAGGAGGAATTCCAAGGAAAGTTTCACAAAGATGAACAAAGACAGAAAGATGAAGGACAGCATTAGGAGCAAGATGATTCAGGCTAATCTCAAAATAGCTGAGAAATTGATAAAAAAGCAGAAGCCGGAAGGAAGAGTCCGGCACGGATAAAGGAGACGAAAAGAATAATCTCACCAGGACCTAGAGCAGGGACCCGATGCTCGCCTGGAGCTCTCCAATCAGCAATATCCTTGCTCTGGATCAGACCATCACCGACAAGCTCGCGCAACTAATCCTCAGTTATAGTCGGAGCCGGCCAGATCTTTTGAGCGGCCCTCATGGCCATGAACTCTTGATTCTCGATCACGGAAAGCGAGGCCTCCTCGTCCACAAAGGCTGCCTAGGACTTGCTCGCTGACTTCTTCCTACCCATATACTAGCGGAAGCAATAAAAGCACTAAGGGAAGGCGATGCTCAGGCGGCGACGCTCAGATGACGGTGACAATGGCAGCGGCGGAATGTTTGAGACTAGGGTTTTAAGGCAAAAGCAAGGCAGTAAAGAAAAAAAAGAACAAAGGCCTTTAAATAGATTTTATAGCAGTAAAATGTGACTCACCGGGCCCGTTTTAACACGGCATGAGAACGCAACGGTCCATTTACTGACACGGCTAAAATGACGGACGACACAAATCCACACAATGGTACAGTTCAATGAGCAGATTTCAGACTTATCCATCCAGCACCACAGTGGAGTTATCATATTGCTACAAAAAGAACCCATCAACCATGAAGCAACGAAGGGCTACCTCACAAGGAACATAAGAACTCGGATCTTATAGAAAGAACTCGGGAATCTCATAAACAACCAGGACTTCAATAGAAAAAAGAATGACAACTCAGAAGACAGGATTCTTTCCATTACAAATGGCTTCAAAAAATAGAAGATTACACATCTTACAAGACCCAACGAACTCGGTACTACGACAAGCAAGGTAGCAAAGAGGAACCCGGACACAGCTAGGCTCTGGAACGACTACGTGTTCCAAATTGCTACTCAGTAGAACAAACCGCACTCGACGACACTGTTTTCTTTAAAGGACGGATGCAGTGCATCTAAGGCGGAAATCAGCAGCACGGCGGGACAACATAGACCAGGGGAAGCCGGCAAGCATTTGTCTACCCAAGTCCGATGTGATGCTGGATATGGTGTTGATCTGCACCGGACAGTCTTAGGGCAGGCAACGAGGATCAACCTAGAACTGCTGGATGAAGAAACGTATCCCACATCACAAGACTTCCTCCAACTACCGCCACGTACTTCCAAGTAAAATGCCGCTGCGGGATTAGTCTACCTCTAATCCCTATCACAAGACTCTCTCCAGCTACGACAAGATACACAAGAACTACAAAATACGCCCAGGGGCTGCTCTACTTCATAAACTATCATATTCATGACTACGGAGATTTCAGACCACGCAACAAAACGCTCGATGAATCAAAATATCACACCAGGAGGGTATTTATAGACCAAAGAAGCGGTGCACATGGACCGGGAGCATCAATGGAACAAACCTAACAAAGGACACAGTGAAAAGACAGAATTCAATGAAAGAAGACTCAGGCGTGAAGGACCAGTACTCAAGAACGAGCATATTCGGAAGAATATATCAACATTGTACAACTCATGGCCAAACAACATTTACTCCCAATTACAACCATACAACTACATCTGACAACAGCAGACTACCAGAGAACATGCCAAGATCCTGTATCCGAGTTCTTTTCGAATAAAAGAACCCAGGTATAAGCTCGGGGGCTGCAACAGGAGAGGTTTTTAGTTCTTTGAACAACTCAGATTCAGGACCCTCCAACTCTTTGTTCCAAATAGCAAGAGGCTCGGGGGCTACATTCAGTGAGTGCACTTTTTCTTCAAAAAAGCGCACATCACTCAGAAAACTTATTCAAGACAACAGTTTTCAAACAATATAAGATTCAAGACCCTCAAACTTTTTGTTTCAAATAGCAAGAGGCTCGGGGGCTACACTCAATGAGTACACTTTTTTCTCCGAAAAAGCGCACATCACCAAGAAGACTTCTTCAAGACAGATCACTTCAAGACATCACGACAAAAAGAACCCGGAACTAGCTATATCCGAGCTCTTTTTGATAAAGAACCCGGGTATATGCTTAGAAACCCTCAAGAGAAGACCCTCCAGCTCCTTGTGCCAAAAAGCAAGAGGCTCGGGGGCTACACCCAAATGAGAGTACTTTTTCTTCAAAAAGGTACACATCACGCGAAGATCTCACGAAGCGCTACACGGTTTCGCTCAAGAAAGCACTCGGACGACGCTTGTTCCTGCTCAGCAAGACCTGAAGGAACAAGACGAGGCTTCCAGAGCTCAACCATGAAGTGCTCGGGGGCTTGTCGGTGCGGGACCCATGGGATACCCCGCAAGGAAGGAAGAAGATCTAGTCTAACTAGGATTCTTCTCATGTAATCCTAGTAATAGTATTATTCTGTAATCCTACTAGAAACTCTCATTGTAAACCGACTAGAACTCTGACCTCCTGACTATATAAAGGAGGGTAGGGTTCCTAGAGACGGGACGAGAGACTTTGAGAACACAACACAATCAATCCAACGCAAGGCAAATGTCGACTGGACGTAGGGCTATTACTCGATCACGGTCGAGGGTCCGAACCAGGATAAATCGACTGTCTCTTGCGTTCACCGTCGAGTTCTGCATATGCCGAAGCCCGAACATACTGCCCCGGGTACCCCTGTGGCAGGCTATCGGTGGTCAAATATCGACAGTAATGGACCATTTCATAATTGTTAAGTAGTTTGTTATCGAATGATAAATATGAATGTTGATTATCGCCTTCAGTATGCTGATTGAAATAATAGACATATAAATATGTTCTCTTAGGACCCTGTGCATGTATTTTTAGTATTTCTATTTATAAAATTCACTTAGTGTCATGTTTTTGTGCATAATTAATTAGGAACTTTCATGTTTTATTTCTGTAAAATTGCTAAATAAATAACATAACTTACATTATATTTCGTTATTATAGCTTTTCATAGCTCCAGAACAACAACTATTCGCTTAAACTTATCAGCCATGGTACAGTGTTTTACTCCCACAATAAATCAGCCAACAGTATTTTTCAGTCTGACTTTTCAGTGAAGCGAAATATAATAATTTAGCCCACTATTATATTTAAAACTAGGTATGTATGAATTATTTGCAACAGTGCATTTATGATGCTGTTCCAATTATTATTGTTTTTCCTTGAAACTGAACTAGCCACGTTGCTATCTGAGGACCAGTGCAACACATTACTAACCATGTATTAAAAAGGAAAACCTACAGCTCACAATAAATGGTTTTTATTTTTTTTATAAAAGATACAAAATCCAGTCTCTATATCTGTTTGGGATATACATGGCCAAAAGTTACATGAGCTCTTAGGCTCAACGCGCAAAAAAAAGCACCGCCACCGCCATCCCGGCAAGCCGCATGGCCTTGCCGTCAGCCTGCTGCGGCCTCCGGCGGCGGGGGCTCGGGGCGGTGGGCAAGGGGGAGGTAGGGTGGCGGCGGGATAGGGTTTAGGACTTAAAAAAGCGTATGTTTTGCACGAGGGAAGAACAAGAAACGGAGAGGTATGACACGTCCCGCTGCGTATTTGCCACCTGAACCCGAGTCCGTCCTATACCGGCCCGTCCCCAACCGCCCCCATTGAATCCACCAGTGAATCTATCACTCCGCCACAGTGAGCCGGACAGTCAGTGCCCCTATATACCTGTCAGTCACGCTACCGCCGTCACCGATCGTGTCCCAGTCCCTTCTTCATTTCCTCCCAGATCTCTCTCTCTCGTCAGATCCTCTCAGTTAGGAGCTAGGAGGGAAGCAGGCTATGGCGACTGAGTCGGTGGCCATGGAGGATCCGGGCGTCAACGGCCGCAACGTGGTGAGCTGGGTGGCGTCCGGGGTGGTGCTGTGGTCGACCGCGTTCTTGCTGGTGCGGGCGCTCTTCCCCAAGCGCTCCTACGACTTCTGCAACCGCGCCGTCTCCACCATGCACGCCGTCGCCGCCGTGTGCCTCGCCTGCCTCTCCGTCGACGACTGGTCCTGCCCCGTCTGCCCGCTCGCCGCCGCATCCTCCCCGCGCCAGGTATACGGGGTTTTTTTTTCCCTTTTGCGTCCATATAATAATAATACGGCGTGCGAACGTACGTACACGCCCATGCCGGAGTGCCGGACGCCCTGGCCTCCGCCTTCCTCCTGAACGAACGGCTGGCTGGCGGCTACAACCACCACCGGCGATCTTTAAACTCTCATGATAAGCCGATGACAGTGGCGTCGCAATAAATACTGGCAGATGAAGGCGCTGGCGGTTACGCTTGCGTACATGGTGTACGACGCGGCGTGCTGCCACCTCAACGGCGACACGCGGCTCGATAACACCGTGCACCACCTCGTCAGCATCGTCGGCATCGGCGCCGGGCTCGCCTACCAGAGGGTGAGCGAGCGGCGACAAGTATCATGCATTTCGTCGTCGTCGGTACGCTGCCGGCCGTTGCCGGTTTGTTGAGCTGACTAGTAGTAATAACTAGCGAGTGGCCGTGCAGTGCGGGACGGAGGAGGTGGCCTGCCTGTTCGTCACGGAGATCTCGAGCCCGCTGCTGCACCTCCGGGAGATGCTCAAGGAGTTCGGCGTCCGGGACACCGACCTCAACCTCCTCGTCGACGTGCTCTTCGCCGTCACCTTCTCCGTCGCCCGGATGGGGTTCGGGCCCTACATCACCTACGTCACTGTGACGGCCGACAACCCCATCCTGATCAAGGTACGCTAACGCACGCCAGCCAAACCAACTCGATCGCAACAACCTCCGACCCATGCCATCCCACTGCACACATGACGATATGCTCTGTTGCTTCCGCTTTGCCAGGCCATGGCGTCGGGGCTGCAGCTGGTGAGCGCCTACTGGTTCCTGCGGATCCTCAGGATGGTCAGGTACAAGCTCGGCAAGAAGAAGCCGCTGCCACCACCGCCGGGCAAGCTCGCCGCCGCCAACTGATGTCAAGTGACCGCGCCGGCGACCTTCAGGAGCCATATATATTATTATATATATATTCAAAAAAGCCCGAGCTGACAGCGTTAGGGAGTTGAATTCGATCGAGACTGCGCTGTACTCTGAAGCAGTTTCCATTGGCAAGGATGTCAGCAAGGGGCGGTGCATGTACTCTAGCAACTGTTATTAGCGTACAAATTGTTCAATGGCTCTGGTTCGCTTCTTGTTTCTTTTGTGAGAAGAAAAAACTACTGGCTGATAAGCCCCAGCCCAGCTGTAAATTCTGTTTGAATCTGGCAGCTGCACTGGAAACGATTAATGTGTTGCACTGTAACTTCATCAACGGCATCGCCGCATCGGCAGAGCGCGCACCAACTCATAGTAATGGTGAAGTCGTACAGGAACAGCAGTAAAAACATTTAAAGCGTCGGTCCTATCCCTAGTACAGCAGCTAAAACGAAGACAATGAATGCGAGTAGACCAACTGGTGAAACAGACTGTAATCTACAGTTTACCTCCAGTCTGAACCACGTAGACGTAGCCCGTAAAATCTAGTTTAACATTGTTAGCGCAAGCTCAAGACCTTGAGTGTTCCTGTGATTTCCGCAGAACTTCCTTCAACACCGCCGCGATCCTCTCAGCCATGTGGTGCTCCATGAACGTTTCCTTCACCCTCTCATAGCCCTTTTCCCCCATGGAGACCCTTTGCTCGGCATGGTTTGCGAGTCTCACGATGTTCTTTGCAAGAGGCGTCACGCCCTCCTTCCCAGCAGGATGCAGAAGGCCAGTCGAGCCGTCCACGACGATTTCCGTGGTCCCTCCAGCAGCCGTGCCCTGATATAGCAAGATGGTGATGAGGTCATTAATCAAATCAGGTCGAAAATTGACGGTGCGCGACAGAATGCAGGCCAAAACAGCATATGGCGGGCTCATGATTGTTTACAGTGCTCCATACTCATGATTCACAACAATAACTCTGGTCTCCGTATTCAGAAAATCGGTGGTCCGCGTTTCAAAATGCTGCAGCATGGTCAGTTGCCTACGTAGAAAGATTGGCCATTGATACTCCGAAGAAGTGATTGGCCATTGATACTCCGAAGAATAAAAACATGGCGCGCCCACCTGCCTGTCCCCTGTCTGTACTGTACTGACATGCACAAGTGGAAGAGAGAGAAAGGAGGTTTACCAATACTGGCAACTTGAATGCCATTGCTTCAATTGTTATCCTTCCGAAGCATTCTCCACGGGCCTAGTAGGTAGAAAAAATAAATGCTATTACTGAAAGTCTGAAGCAGAAGGAAATTCACATGGGAACAAACATCTAAAAAGTCTATCACTACCTGCGTAGCAGCAATGATTGATCGCTGGCATCGAGTATGGCAAACTGAATCATTTACAGCACGCATATACTAATCCAGGATTTCTACCAAAGTTTACTAATTGGAAAGAACACCTGATTTGCACAACGGTGTTTGCACTCCCTAATCTAAGCATTTTTAGCCAGTACCAGAAGATACCAACTGGATTCTTGGCCTGTTCTTAGGCAAGCTGCAGATCAAAGATAAGGAAAATTCAGCGGTGCTTGAGTGTTGGTACAAGTAACTAAAGTAACAATCCTGAACCGGATAAGCGGTCGATTAAACAGAAACAGCATTACTACCGTGTAACATTTAAATTGTGTTTAAATGGGCTAAACGGCCGTTTAGGAGCATTCAGTACTGATAAATTTTAAGCCATGGCCTTAGGTGAGAAGATGACAAAAGTAAAAGAAAGTAAAAATCTCCCCTAAATGCTACGCCAACTGAAGGACGACCCTTTTTACATTCTTTCTCTAGCTACCGAAAGCTTCTCTATGACATAAAGAACTTACGTAGTGAAATAAAGTGTGGCACCGTGATGAACATATAGGCTGCTTTAGTTATTAAAAATTGGCATTAGAATACAAGCAGGCAGACTAAACTAGAGAACTGACTGAATCAGCTCATTTATTAACTAGACCTTGCATACTATAAACATGCCCCAGGAAAATCAATTAACAGAGACCGAGTTGTGAGGAGAAAAACAAGGACCATAGGTAAGGAGCCTCCAGAGTTATGACTCACCTGAGAATTCTGAACAAGAACATCAATTGCTGCCAAATAAGGGGCCACTGACAATGTCTTGTTCACAAAATGGACACGGTCATGAATCACATTCTTCACCACAAAGTCACGTAACTGAGTCTCAAATTTGGTCTGAGCATTCATATCACTTCCCACAACTACAGCATGCATTGTAGGCACTTTTAGTTTCTGGTGTTGGATGAGCTGCAAACCCTGATAAAATGCTTGAAGAAATAAGTCTTGTCCCTTTCCTCGTGATACACCTGTGCATTACAGGATATTTAAGAAAGGAAAATGCAATACAAGAACATAAAGAATTCACATAGACCAAAGAATATAATTGGAAATTGCAGAAAAGCAGTGAAACGTACTGTTTATTATTGCAAACAGGATATCTTCACTCCGTACTCCAAGGGACTCACGAATATGTTCCCGTAGGACTCTTCTTGCGACACTATCTTCAGCAACTTCCATTAGTTCTTTACTATTCCCCAGGTGAACAACATAAGTTTGTGGCATCTGTATTCTTTATACAAAGCAATTACAGGTGTACAATAATGAATTAGATACTCAACAAGTAAGAAAATGCAAGAAACAGCTGATCCATATATAACAGAAAAATACATATAGCCAGTCAGTTTGTAGCTATAAACAGAGAAGCAGGGGACAGATATATTATCTCCTAGATAGGTTATTCAGATCAGTAGTAAGGAGTCAAACTACGATACCACTCTTCGATGTTATATACAGAACCCAGCAATTAATACTATGGAAAAGGACAAGAGAGTATCAATAATTTTACACGTACTTCAGGCGGTCACTAGTCCTGCTCTTCCAATATTCAGCCGTTGTATGAGAATCAATCATGGCTCCAGCAACAAAGGGAAGATGTTTGACATATTCAACCTTAAAGTAATGCCCTCGCATTTCATGGATCCACCACAAAATCTTCGGAAGGACTTTAGGAACATGATCTTTCAGAACAGGATCAAGCCACTTGCCAGCAACAGCAGTGTTTAAAATAACCAGATCAGCTTTTAGAGCAATATCAACTGCCTCCTGTCCCCTAGCTGGTAAAACCTGTGAAACAAGCAGTTTGAGTATCAAAGTAAGCAAGGATTAACTTACATTTCGATGCATGTCAGCTGAGATAGTTTGTGCAGCCATCTTTCCTTTTGCACTTCATTAAATTATGCTCAATATTAACAATAGTAAAGCCAAATGAGGTGCACAAACAAGAAAATGACTAATGAATTGTATTAGAATATATTTAGTAGTTAGGATTGTAATCCGATATTGCCATATGTATCCAGGGAGGTGTTTTGCCCCCCCGAGTCTCTGTACTCTATATATACCGCCCGAGAGGCTCAACGCAATACATCCACGCATTATAATCAATCCTTCCTGCTTACAAATTGCACTGAGTAGTTCCTAGAATCAAATTAGCCATTCTAATCATCTCAAATTTGTAGTCTCTTGCTACCATGAGCTGGACATCAACAAAGAAAACAGTGGAATTGGTCCCTGTCCCAGTTCTAACATATTCAAATCCATCCTTCTTCCTCCTACCTCCCATATTCTCTTTGAACTCCTGAAATTCCATCTGAACTGTAGCAATTTCGCCTCCACTGAACATAGAAAGATATGAAGGCCCAACATATCATACTATTTCAGTGAAAACAAATTAGTTATCTTCCTTTTTTCAAAACATTTATATTACTCAGCGTTCTTCCTGCTCCCTTTGTTCAGATTGGATTCAATTCAGGTGAATGTCTTAGGTTTTGATGTTTGTGATTTGGTTTACTTTTTACTTCTTTAAACAACAGGCGACTCTCCTGCTGGTTCAAGGAAGAAAAGTAGAATATCGCTCAGCGTTCTTCTTGTACTTGATGTTTCAAGAGTTGAGAAGTGTTCTTTTCAGCTGCTGTAGATTTTCAGAAAGATACATACCTACATGTTATAGCCCAGGACCAACTGGGCCCAATAAGAGGCCCATTAAGGTCCACAGTACTGTTCACAAGAGTGGACAGTGCCACAGGTCCTGCGACTCAGCTGCCATTCAAGTCATTGCCAAGCCTAGAATAATTAAGAAAGTTCTAGAGCCGAGTTGGTCAGGAAGTCTTATCTTTGGAACAGTGTTTCAAAGGCGTCCAGGCGTACCCAGCTCGCCTTGGGAAACAGTGGCGCCTTGTCAGTCAAATGAGGTACTCTAAGGTTACTTAGCAGTCAAGTTAGAGTCACCTCTATATAAAGAGGACCATGTACCTTTACAACTTAAGCAGAAGTAGATCAAGGGATTAGCCCATCTCTCTGCCCTGGCTTGGGCGCCAGCCTCCTGGCTGTTGCTCCATGCTCCTGCTGCCCTAAAGAACCACCCTTCACCTTCTCCCCAAATCCCCTCTCAATCTCTGGCAACCTAGGCACATAACACTATATCTCTTTAAAGTTCCCCTGCCTCTTTAGCATACTCTTCAATTTACAGGAATCGACAATTAGTGATTTATGACGTGAAAAAAATCAAATGAGGAACCAAGAGACATATTCCCTATGTTCCTCATTACATGTATTTTAGGATATTTCACAATAACAGAGACAAAGCTACAAAAAATCATGTTACCATGATATGACCCCATAGTCTAGTTGTTACTCTTGCAATTCCACCAACTTTATCAATATTCTTCATGGATGATGCTCACAATTGGATTCAATTCAACTTTCAAGCGTTCTTTAAAAATAGAAAAAAGATACTCCCTCCGTTCCAAACTGCAAGTCGTTTTGATTTTTCTAGGTTCATAGTTTTTAATATGTATCTAGACATAGTGTATATCTAGGTGCATAGCATATCAGCAAAAGCTATGTACCTAGAAAAGCCAAAACAACTTACAATTTGGAACGAAGGAAGTAATTTACAACTGAGTGATTCGAAGGTTTTGCTCACCGGACATTTTAAGTGCCACCTTTCATCATGCTAGGGGTATCAATCCCACTATTTTTCCCCCAACTCCAATGAGGGCTCTGAAGATGTTACGGTTTGTGGTTCCAGGTGGGCGGTCTTCACCAGGGAAAAGGTGGTGGGTTTAGAGGGAAGGCCACTGGCAGCTGTTACGAATAAAGAGAGACTGAACTGGATGATTGTATTGAGGCCCAATAGGGACTATATATAGAGTACATGAGGGACACAGGAGGGAAACCCTAGACTAGGAGATTACACTAATGCCCTTGACTATTATACCTTAACAGCAGCACACTGGACCGGCAGTTCTGGTGGTACAACTGTACAGAGGTGGTGCGATAAGGTGACGGTGGCGCCACCTACCAGGGAAGTGGTGGACGGGCAATGGATATGGTTGGGACATGGTCAACAACGACGGCAGTAGTGGCAGGCAGCATAGAGAGGCTGCCATAGGCAGGGCAGAGGCAGGATTAGAAGGATGCGAGGAAGAGGAGAGTGGTTGGAAGTGTCTGGCAGCAGAGGTGGTATTCGGGGGAAGAGCTCAAGAAAGAATGGAAGACAGCAATGGACGTTGGATTCCAATCAGACAACCCAAAAATTGTGCATTTCCAGCCACTGAATCACTCAATGAGCTATAGACAAGCCCTTAAAAATACAAGATAGTCTATGATTTTGCCTTTTTTTTTTTGCCCCCAGAAAAACTCTATTGTCCTAATGATCAATTTCTATTCACAAGGTCACTTAGTACAATGCCCTAGAGTACACAACATTCAAGAGAACTAACAAACCTGACCAAGGCTTTGAATGAGGGTAACAAAATCTTTTGTTGGTGTGCCATGGCCCTTGGTTATGCAAAATCCTAGAAAGACATACATTTAAGAACAAGAAAACTGCCCTTCCAGAAAATTTAATCAGTTAAGTCAACGAGTCCAAACCTGATGACCTATGTTTATCAGATGGTAGTTATCACCCCCTGCTATTGTGTTAGTGTTTTCTCAAAATTCGATTATACTTCTAGAAACTAAGAGTGTTGTCTTGTAACTTTACCACATTGGCACATCTGAATCCCACGCTACATGCATAAATTTAAGACCAAAATTCCAAGCTACACATCTGCAGGAGCATTCATACCTGCACTCCATGGTTCAACATCCTATGCTCCAAGCTATATGTGACATCATTTGTTTCTTCTGATCTCTGGTTTGTTATCCACACCACTTGCGAGCCAACATGCCTCAGAAGAAATGCCAATTCCATCAGTAAAAGTGGGCCACCTGCATCAATTAGGAGTTTTTCTACTAAGACTGATTGGTCATTAAAATGGATGCCAGCATCAAACAAACGATGCTTTAGGTTTTGGAGATTCTTTCAACAGATACCATTTCAGAACTCGAATACTCCAACTTAGGAGCAACATGAACGTTGTTAAGTACTCAACAACTTCTGAGTATATGCTACGAGTAATCAGATAACTATTCCTGCTAGCATAACATCACTCTGATTGTCATCATTTCTAACTTTCCCAGAAACCTTCTCATACTCAACACTGGAAGTACAAATCTCACTCCATCTCTGTTTGGTTTCTCGGTAACTTAAATGAAAGATAGTAATTAGAGTTACCAATCACCAGTGCAAATCGCACACTGCGCCGTCACAAGTTCCAATAAGGCAATAAGCTGCCAATAATGGGATCGCAACAGATGTACTCAAACCAGCAAATACTAATGGCACGGCTCCGGAATGTATGAGCTACGAAGTGAAGCCAACCACTAAGTGAGCAAATTACCCGAGAGGGAGAGCTCGTGGGAGACGAGGAGCACGAGTTTGGAGCTCATGAACCCGAGGGGACTCCCCGCGGCGACGGCGGTGTTGAGGGCGGCGGGGTCCCCACGGCCGTCGCAGGGGTCTCGCAGGGCACCGCGGAGGAGGAACCCCGCTGTGGATGCGGAGGCGGCGACGGCCACGAGGAGGACGAGGAGGAGCCGGGTCCGGTTGTGAACCGGGCCACGGCCTCCGGCGGCCGCCGCAGCCGCGGACGACGGGGGCTTCGCCATCGCCGGGCGGACGCGGCGGGCCCGAGGAGAGACTGTGGTCTCAGATCAAATCAAACGTGGGAATGTATTTGGCGAGCCAAATTGGGTGCTTCTTTTCTCCGGCCGTGTTTTTCGCTTTTCTTTTTACTTTTCTTATTATCTCAATCAAAACTATACTAGCTCTCTAAAAAAAACATCATCACTGAGAGACTCTAATCATTGTGCACCAACGAAATTGTACCCAAGATTTCAACATCGTTAAATCTATGGCTCCTGATCCCTGCTCACAGGCTTCAACTCGATCTAATGGCCAATGTTATTTGGATCTCCCACGCCAAGGCTTCAACGCAAAGCTCACGCATGAGACCCAGGAGGCCAGGATCAAATTCCAAACTGGCCATAAATAACAAATAAGTTTCCTTCAAAAAAAAATTCCTTCCAAACGACACGAAGAAATTGTGGTTCCGGTGAAGGGCAGGGACGGCGGCGGCCGGGTGTCCTTCTCCTTCCTTCCTCTCCCTCTCCCTCTCCTGTTGGTGCTGCGTGTGGACATCGAGGCCTGACCAGCGGTGGCTGGCGCAGCCGTTTCCTGAGTTGGGGTGGACGGATCCACGTGCTCGGCAGCTAGATCCGGTCGTCGGTGGCTGGATCTGGTGGCGGCGGACGAGCTCGCCTCCCTGTAGTACTTCCGGCGACTGGACTCCGCGCGGATCGCCGGAGGTCGCGTGCAGTCGTGGCTGCCTAGGCCATCTCTTCGCCGAATTTGGTGGTGCTCCGGCTGGATCTGGCGGCGTCGTGGTGGTTGGCCATCGGCTGCATCTAGACGGGCTCCGGTCTGGCGTCGGCGGTGGCTCTGGCCCAGGGCGCCGGGAACGGCGCCGAAGGTGGCTAGGGCTGCGGATATTGCCCGGGCTGTCGGTGTGTGTGCGCAGAGACGGCGGTGGTGCGGCAGTTCGTCGGCGACGCCGTGGTGGCGTGGCCGGCCGTGGCTTGGCTAGGTGTGCTCCAGCAGCGTCATGGTGGCGCTGGCTGGCGGCGGCCTGGCGTTGGCATTCCCGCGGTGCCATGGTGGCATGGCTGGCGGTGCTAGGCTATGGTGATGGTCGCAGATCTGCCGCCTCCACTGCTCACTACTGGATCGGACCTGCTCCGGTGGAGCTCGCTGGCGGTGGAGGTGCTATGGGGCTATGGTGCAGGACGACGACAGTTTCGGTGCGAAGACTGTTGGAGAACTTGCGTGGCGTGGTGGACGCGGGGCCGGCTTAGCAAGGGGCAGGGACGTTAGTAGGCTGGGCGACCGGGGCTTCTTCTGATCTTGACCCTCTTCTCCCCATCAGCTGCCTTCCCCTTCCTCGGGCTAGCTTCTGTGGCGGAGCTGGCCGGTTTTGCCGGTTCGAGCGGGGGCGGACCCTCCGATGGGCTTCTCCTGAGACTTCTCCTAGCCTACGTCCTTGGGGCGACAGACGGGTAAGGCTCCTGAGTCTTATGTTCAGTTGAATGAAATTACTGAAACTTTGTGATAAGGAAGCCATATATGAGAAATTTCTAATTGTTTCCTGCACACACTCACGGACTTAATAATTGCATATTTAAAGTACGAACTTGATGCTACACAACATTCATAATATATTAAATGGGCTGTTGTTCATTGAGATCTTAATTGCCCAGTTGACAGTTACATTTGTGTGTGTCGGTGTAGTTAATTTTTAACCAAAAGTAATCATGAGGTTATTACTTAATAGTTCATACACGCACTGCAGTTTTGAAAACAAGGTAGATTAGACCTGTCTTTTCATTGTCTCTTCTTATATGGCTCATTCAGCAGTGGTACAAACCGAATGGTTAATTGGTGTGGATGCATTATCCAGGATCCTCATTCAGTAGTGCGTGCATTCGAAAGGACCTTGATGTCGCCTAGGAGGCCTAGAGGGGGGTGAATAGGCCTGTAAAAATTTAACTCGAAACTATGTTAGAACAGAGGGCGGCACTGCCGCTCTTCAAAAATAAAGCAGACATCGTTAAGATTTCACAGATAGTAACCTGACCCTCTCACCTGCTCAATCCTGCAACAGAAAGACAAAATCCAGTTCGAAGACTGGATACCACAAAAATCTCACACGAGAGAGGATCGAGCTACCAAACCCTAACAACAGCTAGCAAAGAGCTGAACCAGCAAGAACACAAAGTGAAGCACGCGAGACACAAAATTTATCCCGTGGTTCAGCTCACCACCAAGGCTTGCCTAAGTCCACGTTGTTGAGGCATCCACAAAAGGATTGGCTCGCCACCAAGGCTTGCCTTGCCCTCGTTCTCAAATTAAGAGAATGAACTCTTGAAGTGAGGGGTAATTTCTTAGCCGCAGGATGAGGTTACAAACCTCCCAAGGCTGCCACACGAGTTGGCAAGCACAAGGACGACGCCTAGGAGCAAGCTCTAAGAGTAACAAACCCTAGAACCGTCGGCCAAACGTGAACCAAATGCTCTTAGATTTTAGGAATCAGTGGATCTTCTCTCCAATTGAGTTTTGTTGTCTTTTCTCTCAAGTTTTGATGGTTGGAATCAAGGATTTGCTTGAGGAATGAAGGAGCAACAATGGAGGAGAGAGAGGTGAGCTTTGGTCTGTTTAGTTTCGAACTGAACCGTTGGAGAAGATGGATGACCGTTGTGGGTCGGCCCAAATGGTATTTATACCTCTTGGGTTCCAACGGTTGTTTATGGGCGGCACTGTCGTCTTAGCCAAAACAGGTAGAATCTAGAGATTTTTGGTTGGATAAGAGGATATAGATCTGTAGTTTTGAGCATATGATTGCACAGTTGACCAACTGTACTAGAATCCCTCTTTATAGTACGACTTTTCCTAAACTCAAATTCAAAGCATAAAAGAATGTAAATGCCTTTGAGCTGGTTGCCACTTTATTTGGCAATTAAGAACTTCTATTATCAAATATGTTTTTCTCATTATCATTATACCTTGATTATGTGACTTGAACCATTTTCATACATATGAGTTCACCTTCATGGCTTCAAGTCACTTCCACTAATGATTTGATCCTCAACACAATATGACTCCTCATAGCTTGATTATGTGACTTGAACCATTTCCATACATATGAGTTCACCTTCATGGCTTCAAGTCACTTCCACTAATGATTTGATCCTCAACACAATATGACTCCTCATAGCTTGATTATGTGACTTGAACCATTTCCATACATATTAGTTCACCTTCATGGCTTCAAGTCACTTCCACTAATGATTTGATCATCAACACAATATGACTCTTCATAGCTTGATTAGTACCTCGACTCAATGCAAGTACTCTCTTCTTCACCTTAGCCATGGTACCTCGGTCGCCAAGCCGTCGCTTGCCCTTCACCTTCGCTTAGTACCTCGAAGCCCTTTCCTTGCTATCTTCACCCTATCAAGCCATACTTAAGTCACATTATATTAAGCATCTATTAAAAAACATTTCTTTAATATTGTGATCCTTGCTTGAATATTTTCTAGATATGAATGTTGAGATCAATCAAGCTTAAGTTTGTCTCACATAGAGACATACATGGATCAACATCAATATGGTCAAGCTAATTCACGATTCCTTATTCCCTTCTCATTTTGGCTTGACATTCCAATTGATCTTTCATATATTCATCCATGTAAGCAAACCAATATAGAGACCGACTTATATCCACTATACATTGTCATTTACCAAGTATGTTTGCTTTCACATGATGCTATGATATCCCACAACATAGAAGCCATTTCATTAGTTCCATTTGCATTATTGTCTTTTGCTTGAACTAGATTGCTTACATAAACTTCCAATACAACAATACACAGTTTGACATTCACTTTAACACAATGTGGCATATCATCAAGTTGCCTACTAGTTGAACCTTGTATATACTTGTTAATACACAACCCACAAGTATATGCAATAGACTCAATTTCCTGTTCAACACTTAGCAAACTTATTAGACCTTTAATTGTGTTGTCATTTAATTTACCAAAACCCACTAAAGGGCTAGATGCACTTATAGCACTAGGCTTTTTGCCAGAAGATGGTCATGGTGTTTTATGTTGCTAGGTGAGATTCCCTTACAAAGTTGTGTATGCAATATTAAAAACCATCTTTAATCAGTCATGATAAACATCTATTCAACTTAATATTTAAATCTGCAAGTGTTTATCTACTAAAAATTTGGATCTGCCAAATTTATTCTGGTCACTGCTTGTGTGTGGCATTAAAATTAGATGAAAACTGATTGATTTGAATTAATGTCTGAACTATTTATTTGGTTAGGGTCTCGAAGACGGTGAATTTGTTAGAGTGAGGACCGTCCATTTGAATGGAAAGCCTCGTGTCCTTACTCTGAAACAGGACCTTCACTACTGGCCGACCTGGGAGCTTAGCTTTGAACCAGAAATTGCTACGGCTGAGGAGAATAATAAAAGCATTGCAATCAACTAAGGCATGATATTTTTCATGTTTTGTTGCACCTTTCCATGCTTTTACAGGAGCTTAGAGGTAAGGAAATGAGAGGTTCATGCCTTTGTTTGGTAAGCTCAAACCTACATTATGCAGACTTATGTTTGCCTGCAGGATTTTCCTTTTGTATATAATCTATTCCTATATTGTTTTGGTAGAAAAAGAAATAATTTTTTAGCCTTTCTAGCGGTCATTTCACTACTCTGCATTAAGAATTTGTGTTAGCTATCAAGTTAATAGCTCCACATATTTAGTACGTTGTTGTTTATTATCACTGCTATCAGCTTGATTGCATAATTACTGTAATGCCTATCGACAGTTTGGTCAGTTTTGTATTTTACCATAGTGTTAGCACTGGCACACTTTTTATTTTAGAAGTAAGAAAATTTTATTTTTATTGCCTCAATCAATCAAATCACTTCCCTTCGCTATCTATATTTGCAATCTAGGTTTGGACAGTGTGGTGGCCTTTTGATCTTCGAACTTTGCCTCTTTAGCTGTTGTGGTTGTCGCTGCAGACGGGTGAGATAGT